GTCATCATGTTAACAACTAGCTGAAGTGTTGGATATAGGACAAAGCTCACCTCCTAATTTCTATTGCTAGTCACCACCTTTGAACTGACTGAATAGTTTCTGCATAGAACTTTGCACAGATGTGCAGCAGTTCAAGTCACCACTCTCGATGTAGCACACAAAGCAAGTGAAGAGAATAAAGAGAGACTCAAAAACAGATAATGAACAGAAGTGTGAGAGAAAAATGATAGAGTTTTACTGAATAGTATAGGTAACAAAGAGTGAATGCATCTGCGCCAGCCAGCCATTGAGAATGATAACTTTGAGCCAGCCATATCAACAACTGTCTCCAGCCTTTATTAGTTCTTACCATCTCGAGGACCGCACCCAGCCAGTCAGAAAGTCTACATCTGCCTACATGTCTGGCTGGCTGGTTGGCTTAAACTAACTGTTGTGGATTTAAGTGACTGATGAAATCATGTTTTAGTTGTTTATTTCAGTCTTAGATTTTCTTGTCGATTGATTGAACCGAAGTGCTCGGTCTCAGGTTTACATGTTGGCTTCTTGCGCAGATGCTTCGACGATTTTTGGGCATATAATTGGAAGTTAATTGGTGGATGGTGATTAGCAGTGGAATCCAGGATGAGCATTTCGTCTTATTTGGGACTCGTCTTCAGTTTAACCACCATGCGCTAGGTGTTTTCTAACCTGGTATGTCGTATATCAGCGGCTTACATTGCCCATTGTCGGGGAAGGCAATGGATGGCTAGGCTAGGCATGCGTAAAATGTGTCCTAACCATCTCAGTCGATGAATTTGTTTCATAACCTCGTCGACAGGTATTTCCTTCCTTACCTAGCAGTCACTCGACTGATGCCTAACTTCAATATTACACACCCTGTTGCATCACCTAACATGTGAGACAGAACGCAGCCATGAATGATCAAGGAAAGCTAGCCTTGATACTCATACCTGCCACTTTCAACAGCCATGTCTCACAGCCATGTAGGAAGATGGAGCGAACTGGCATGCAGTACACACTAGATATCACGTCTACTAAGCCAGAGACAAGTGCCTTTGTGTTAGTAACAATTGTATCTAAGTTTCTATTTCTTTTGTACAAAAAGTTGCATGTCTTTCCAGAGGAAATTCACTTAAAAGTTATCTGAAAAGTCAAAAGAAGCCTGGCCAAAAAGCCTATGCCTACTTATCATTTAGACTGTTGAAGCCTTAACGATTCGGATGAAAAACATTGATTTATGGTAGCGGAAGAAACTTCTGCATCTCCTCTATCTACCGCAGGTATAATGACAAGTTCAACAACTGTTATCAATATTTTGTCTTCGCTGCCTCTTCAGCGATGACAGGATTGCAAGTGAACACAGAGAAGACGGAGGTGATGAAGATAACCAACCAACAACCAACCACCACCAGCAACAACAACCAGCACCACTCACCATCAACGGGAGAGATTTACACTGGTTATCTCCATCACTTATCTGGCTAGGAAGCATCTTTTCAACTACAGGCAGAACGGATGAAGATGGCAAGCCCAGGCAGCCAGAATTGGAAATGCAAGATACGCCTTCAACAACCTCAAACTAGTTTGGAAATCTTCTCTACTCAGCATAAGGAACAAAATTCGGTTTTTCAACACCAATGTTAAGTCAGCTCTTCTATACGGGTGAGACACTTGCATTGCGTGTCACGAAAATGATTTATAACAGCCTGTGACAGACTATTACCAACAGCTGCCACCTTCGCTGGCTAGCTCCATACTGAAAATCAAATGGCCAGAAAGAATAAGCAACAAGAAACTCTGCAGTGGAACAAACCAACAGGCGAGAGCCAATCGCTCAACAAATATGTCGAAGAAATTGGAGATGGGTCGGTCGGGCATACATTGAGGAGGCCGTCGAATGACATCGCCCGCAGTGCAGGCCGTTGTTCGAGTAGAACCCCAATGGGAAGCGACAAGTGGGCTGTCATTGTGACGGTGACATGGTGGAGATCATTTCGGTGGAGGAGATGAGGGAGTTAGGGCGATCGTGCAGCCAACCAGGTAAAGAGAATAGCTATATTTCAATAGTTTACACACAATGATAAGCTTTGTTATTCGTAATATTTCGAGCGAAATTACTACTGCCCGTGTTCACACCACTGTTGGAATTGTTTGATTCACACATTTATGATTTGTACTCATATATATATATATATATATATATATATATATAGTTCATTATTTTTGCTCATTCATGTTTCGTTTGGTTTTTTGTATTTGAGTTATATTCCACGTTCATTCATGTTTTTGTAAAACGGGAGAATAACAAGATGGAAGAATGCAAAAAAAGCAATCACAATACCATACAAAAATGGTACATCAGAGGCAATTCAAAGAAACCTCAAAAATATCGGCATTCACACAACTTTTAAACCGACAAATCTAATCAAAAATAAAATAAATCAACTGAAAGATCCCATAAAAATGATGGACAAAAACAACTTGATTTACAAAATATCTTGTGCTGACTGTCCAACTAAATATGTGGGGCAAACGTCCAGATCACTCAAAATAAGAGTGAATGAACATAAACGCCTAACCAAAGGTCAACCAACGGGAACACAAGTCTACAAGAATCTTGAAAAAAATTCATCGATAGTTGCACATGCAGCATGGGATAAAAACCACAATATCGATTGGAACAGTGTGTGTATTGTAAATATGAACTAATATGAACAAATGGAAAGAAAGACTTATAACAGAATCGATATTCATTAAAGTCACACCGGATACATGTAGCAAGGGTGACTCAGTACAACTATCAACAACTTAAAATATAATTCTGGATACAAAAACGTGAATGAACGTGGAATATAACTCAAACACAAAAAAAACAAACATGAATGAGCAAAAATAATGAACTATATATATGAGTACATATCATAAATGTGTGAATCAAACAATTCCAACAGTGGTGTGAACACGGGCAGTAGTAATTTTGTTCGAAATATTACCAATAACAAGACTTATCATTGTGTGTAAACTATTGAAATATAATTATACTTTATTTGATCTAATCCACAATGCTCAAACTTTTTACTGATAATAAAGAGAATAGCACCAAATAGAAGAAAGTGTACATGTGTTTTTGAAGCCAGCCCTATGTCCCACTGGAAACCCAAGGGAAAAATAATAGTAATAATAATAATAACACTAGTACTATTCTATACAGTTTTTTGTATCGCATCTCTTGACATCACTTTCTTAATTAACCTTTTGTTTACCCTTTTTCATCTCTGTTACATAATTTATTTCAATACTTGTCTTCATGCTCACTCTCTCTGTCTATAAAACATCCCTTGTTTTTTTTTCTGAATGTTTTTCATATTACTCAATTTTTAATCTTTACTTATTATTATTTTTTATCTCCCTAGTTACATTTTTTTTTTAATTATTCATCACTGTTTTCAATATGTTTTGATGATGTAAACAATACCCTGAACTGATGTGCACTCATCATATATGCAAAAATATAACTGACAGTGTAAAGACTTTGGTGAATAAAATTTACCCAAGTCTTTTCGTTGAAGTATTTATTCATATTTTAGGAGAATTGTTATTTTAAAAGATTGTTTGATGAACAAAGAATATAATTTTGATGGTATTAGATGTTTGGAGGCAGTTGGCTACAGGTTTCGTGCTAGCTGGCACTCACCGGTCAGTCAACAAGGCGTATCTGCATCTGCCTTGAAGGAACTCATCTCCCACCACCTAAGTAGTATTTTTCAGTTACAGGTGGAACAGATGAGGATGTTAAAGGCAGGATCAGAAGGGCAAGACAGACTTTCGTCGCCCTGAAATCAGTTTGGAAATCTAATATAATCAAAATAAGCAGCAAGGTTCGTATTTTTTATGTGAAATCAGAGCTTCTGTATAGTTGAGATACTTAACGTGTGACGAATAGCATCACGGACAGATTACTGCAGACTTTCGTCTATAACTGCCTACTCTGACTCGATATTAAAGAGCAGATGGTCAAAAATGGTAAGTAACGAAGAACACTGGCAGGTAATGAACCAACCAAGAACTTACCACTAAACAGATAACTCGGCGGATATAGAGAGCTATTGAACATATTTTCAAGTATTGGTTTTGTAGGGAATTCTTTTTTGTTTGTTTTATTGGTCGGAGGATTTCATCATGAGGTGACATCCGTTAGAGAACCATTGGAAAATCAGCTGAGAGTACTGGACAGCTGTTTCGTCAGTCTAGTTTGGGACTCTGCAGCAGCACACACTCACTGCGGGCTTCGAACCCAGGGTTTTCTTTTTACAAGGCGAGCTAGCTAGTGGACCGTTAAGCAACTCACTGGGACCCGATTCAATGGTCAGTCCGTGAGTTATAACTTCTACCAATTCATGACATAGTGCAACCACTTCTCAATGTCTTCTTCGATGAGTTACTACCTCACCTTCAACCTGATGTACCCTGCTGGTCACGGCTTCTAACTAGAACCCCGGGTTAACTGCATGAATTGTGGCCAGTCGCTAGTGAGCATCAGATCACTTTTCAAGTACTGGTTTTCCTAGGCATTTCATTTGTGGTCACGCTATGATGTGAATTGGCAGATGTTAGAATTCATGAACTGTCAAATGAATTGGGTCTCAGTGGCTTAATGGTCTACGAGCTAGCTCACCTTGTAGCCAGAATGTCTTGGGTTCAAACCCCAGTGCAGTGGGTGCGTACTGATGAAGAGTCTGAAACCAGGCCGACGAAACATCGCCAAACCAGTAATTAGACTGTTAAGGAGGCAAGGTTGGAGACAAAAATGAACACCACTGCTACCGAAACCTCTAAACAGCTCTAGCTTAAAGCCCCCTATGTTCCAGCACTCGGAACGTAAAGGAATAAATGAATTAGATGGACAAGGGCGCTTTCCTGCAAACATGCAGAGCTAGTATACAACATATAAGACTAGAGTTATACATTAATGCATATATATATGTACAAACTAAACATACCATAGCACATCTTTGATTATACTCGTCCAAAGTCAGTTTACTGAATGAATCCACCAGTTGATCTGTTGATTTTACTGACTTTTCTTTGATGCCTGACACAGCAGCTTTCTTATTTGTTGACTGTAAGTCAGTTATCCTCTCCAGTGGTGATGCTGACAATGATGATGATGATGATGCTTGTGATCCTTCAAATTGATCTACATCATTCGATTTCTTTGTAATATGACGTATTCCACGAGGGAACGACTTTTGTGCATTATTGAATAGGATAATCTTTTCAAGAATATTTTGTATTGCCAAGTGATGATCAATATCACTGCTGGATTGTTCATGAATATATGCGTGGAACTGTTGAACAAGTGTTTCTTCATCTCTGTTTCTATTGGCTGTTTGTGTATCATATTCAGTTGAACAAGACGAAGCAGAAGAGGAAGATATTCTCTCCAGTTGACTTTCTAATCCAATGACATAAGCTGCCATAAATATGTTCTCATAGTCTTGGATACGTTTATCACTATGACAGGTGTGGATATGAGAAATATAGAGAGAAAGAGAGATACAATATAAGGCAGGAGATCCTATAAAATCTCAGAAATTCAAAATAAGGTTTGTAACTCAATTCAACGGTGAAGATTAGATGACTGCCTATTCACCTTGAGCAACAATCTTCGTATGTTTGGCATGTGATTCGTCCCTGTAAAATGTAAGATGATGCTGTAGGATTGGACTACACCGACCCCTAGATTAGAAATAGGAAGTGAAAAGGTAGAGTACGTTGACCGCTTCACTTACTTGGGAAGTATCATCAGCCCCAACGGGTTGATCCCCGACGAAATCTCAGCACGAATACAGAGGCTAGTTTCGCAAATGCCAGTTTACGCCGTCTCTGGCGTAGACGCTATATCTGACTATCGACCGAAGGGCGTGTGTACTGCCCAACAGATCCGCTCCGTCCTCCTTTACGGCCAGTGAGACCTGACCATTGAGAGAGGAAGACATGAAAAGATTAGCTGTCTTTGATCATAGGTGTCTGCGTTCTATCTCCCGTGTGAAGTGGTATAATAAGGTGAGCAACACTGAGGTTAGGTGTCGAGTGCTAGGTAAGGAGGGGAAATCAGTCGACGAGGCTGTGAAGCTACATCGACTGAGATGGTTAGGACATGTGTTGTGCATGCATGCCTAGTCATCGCCTTCCTCGACCGACGGGCAATGTTAGCTGATATAGGGTCAGGCTGGAAAAGAGCTAGCGGCGGTCAAACCAAAACATGGCACCAGTCAATGAAATCTACAACAGTTAGTCTAAGCCACGTAGGAAGGTGTAGACTTCCTGACTGGTTGGGGTCCTCGGGACGGTAAACAACAATGGCTTGAGACAATTGGTGATACGGCTCAAAATTGTTTTCAATAGTTGGCCCAGATGCATCCACTCCTTGTGACTCATGATTTCCAATGAAACTGTTTTGTTCTTCGTTATTACTATTCCTTTGTCTCACACCTCTGTTTACCGTCTATATTATGCATTTCTTCTACTTTCTTCTCTTGCTTTGTGTTACATGGAGAGAGTGTGGCGACTTGAACTGCCGCACATCGGTGCAAAGTTCTATGTCGAAAACCGACCGACCGACCGACCGAGAAAGAATAACCAATAGCGAACCAATCTGGAAGCCTATTACCCAGACAACAAACATGCAGAAAGAGATGAATTAAACATAAAACTGAGGAGGCTGTTCAGTGACATCATGTGTCAGGCAGTCGAAAGGAGCTTGAATGCAATGTGATGGGTTTGGCACAGTATTAAGAATGATATGAAGAGCATGTAAGTTGGAAGCGGAAGCTTGTAGGGGCAGTTGGGGGGGGGTGGCTGTGTTAAAATATAGTTCCGCATCTGATGTTTCCAGAACAATTTATTGTTCACAACCATGTCATTGTATTCACACGACTTCCTAGACTGCTTTATATACATACCTCTTAGTTCCCCGTGTTAGTTTATTGTAACTCAGCATACATCCTGGTTAGGCATTCATTGCACGAGTGCGGTGGTGATTCGATGAAGAAAGTTTCGGTGATTAACTTCTCTCTCACTCTCCTTCCAACTATATTACTTTCTAATACGTTTACCTTATCGCGTCCTGTTGTTTGATTACATGCAAGTGTATACATTTCTAGATTATTTAACTTAGAAGGGTTAATCCTTCTAGACCCAACTGAATTCCAATGTTCCAATAATCTAACTGACCCCGATCTAATATATATGTAAAATTTGGGCACTGTGGTAGTAAGTAATTCCATATTAGTTTGTTTATTAGATGTATCACACGGTGAGGAAACAGTATTATTACACACTGGATGACGTTTCGAACAAAATTTATTGTTCATAATCATTTCATCAATTATAATCACACGACTTCGAAACTTGAGTTTTATAGATTTCTTTGTCCTCTGCTATTTGTCTTTGTAGGGGTAGTAGAATTTTCCAGGTATTCAGGTGGACAGTTGTTGAATCATTCCAATTACATGTATTCTCCTCAGTTGATTCGATAAATAAATCTTCTGTCAGTTATCAGTCTCTCTCTCCCTCCACGCTGCTTTTATATTATATTTTAGAACTGTCATCTTATCCCATCGTATCGTATGGTTGTGTGTAATTGCATGTAGTGAGTGGTATAGCTTATCTTATTCGAGTCAATCAATTTAGATTTTGCTAGGTTTTTATGTTCAGCTAGTCTGACTGCCCCTGTTCTACTAGTTTGATCTATGTATTCGACCTGACAATGATTGCAGAATATATGACAAACCAGATTGTTAAAGGATCCTGTGGAGCCTTTAAAACAAAACAATTTAGTTTAGATTGGTTGACCCGAATAAGATAAGAAATCTAGAGAATAGTTCAGCTATACCACTCACTACATGCAATTACACACAACCATACAATAGGACGGATAGGGTAGGATGACAGTTTTGAAATCTAATGTAACAGTAGGGTAGGCGGGGGAGAGATTGATAACTGACTGAAGCTTTATTTATCGAATCAACTGAGAGGGAATACATGTAATAGGAATGATTCAACACCTGTCCACCTGAATATCTGGAAAATTCTTCTACCCCAACGACGACAAATAGGTGGGGACAAAAAAACTATAAAAGTCAAGTCTAGAATTCGTGTGATTATAATTGATGCGATGACTATGAACAATAAATAAATTTTGTTCGAAACACTGTCATCCAGTAAATAATACTGTTTCACTGTATGATATGTCTAATAAACAAACTGATATGGAATGACTCTGATCTACTAGTCTGAACTGCGTAATTGATCTCACTAACAGTCATTACATGGTATTTGGTAAATTATATTATGTTTCTTAATTGGATCTATCGGGTCATTAGACTGACAAGGTCTATCTCTCAGTGAGCTGGTTGGTTCAACTTTTATTTATTTACTTATTTTATTCCTCTAAGTTCCCATTGGTAAGCAGGGCTTCAAGCTGAGGGGGCTTTGAAATGTCAGTAGCGGTGATGTTATTTTTTTGGCGGGACGAGGCTGCTAGTCTCAAGTCTAACCTTGCCTGCCTACGGGGCTTACTACCGATTAAGTGAAGTAAAGAAGTGCATCGGCCGGGAATCGAACTCCAGGACACTTGCTGTGGGTTGGCCAGCATCCTACGATTGAACTACCGACGTTGGTTGGCTTAAATGTAACCCTAATTACAGTCTTATTAGGAATCCTACGTAGAGCTTCTGATGTTCCTTCTCCTTTATTTGCTAGTACTGTGGTGGTGCAATACAGACAATGTGTTCCAACGAAATATTGTTCTCACATATTCCCACAGTTCAATACAGCATTAAAAACAGAATACTATGTATATTTGAACATTCTATTTCATGTCATTTAATACACGCCAAAATCACACGCTCAGTGATTGGTTAAAGAATATAAACTGTATATACATAAACAGCGGTATGATTAATGAAAAGTATAAGTTGGCTCCCGTATCTTGCCTTCTGCTGTTACATTTGGTGCCGCTGCCTGCCGACAAATGGAAAGCCTATGCCCTGCAGTTGTTGAAGAAGGAGATATATGGATCTTCCAGCAGGACTTCGAGGCTGTTGCGGTGTTGAAAATCCGTCAGCGATAAGTCTGTTGCTTGGAAAGCTGCTGGGAGGTCGGAAGATAGCAGCATATCATATAGTGAGGCGAAACACTGGCGAACACGAACCACAGTCATGGAAACTAATTCAGCATGTGGTATCCGTAGCCCAAATTTTGCAGGTCGACCATAGATATCAAGTGTGCTTCGGCAGGGGATCTAACCTCGGACCATGTGCATGGTCGGCGAGAGTCCTAACCGCTGTGCTACCGACGCGCATTAACAACAAAACACTATGTTTATGTATCACACCCTCAGCGATTAGTTAATGAATATAAACTGTAGATATATAAACAGCGGTTTAATTAATGAAAAATACATACCTTGGCTTCCGTGTCTTGCCTTCTGCTGTTACATTTCTATTATTATATACTATTATTATTTTCCTTTAATTCCTAGAGGAACATAGGGCTTCAGCCATGCGTCTCCATTGCGTTCGGTTCTCTGCTAGAGTTTTCACCTGGCTCCAAGTCTGCCCACATGCTTTCATCTCCTCTTCACATGACCTCCTCCAAGTCACCCTCACCCTTGCACTGACGACCAACTCGCCGCTTCCCATTCTATTGGGGTTCCACTCGAGCAATGGCTTGTCTAGTGATGTCACTCACTTGATGGTTTCCTCAGAGTATGGCCAGCCAATCCATCTCCATTTCTTCCTGCCTATTTGTTTCACAATCGGTTCCTGCTGTGTTGGTTCGCTCATTGCCAGAGATCTCTGTTGCTGATCTTTTCTGGCCATCTGATCTTGAGTATTGAGCGAAGACAACTGTTAATGAAGGTCTGTAGTTTGTTTGAGATGCTCTTTATGACGCGCAGGCCAAGTCTCTGATCCGTATAGTGAGTAGCACTGACTTCACATTGGAGTTGAAAATCCGGATCTTATTTTTGATGCTGAGTGCTGATGTTGACCTCCACACAGACTTGAGAGTAATGAAAGCTTGTCTTGCTTTACCGATTCTTGCTTTGATATCCTCGTCAGTTCCGTGCCTGTAGTTGAAACGATGCTTCCCAGGTGGTAGGTAGGTAAAGGAGGTTGTTTCTTTCAGGTTCCTTCCATTTATGCTGGCTGATTGTTGTCTGTTGTTGTTGTTGCTGTTGGTGGTGTTGGCCAGGAATCTTCATCACCTCTGTTTTCTCTATGTTCACCTGAAGTCCTATCTTTGATGCTTCTTCTGCCAACTTGTTGCTTTTCACTTGCATATCTTCCAGTTTGTGGGAAATCAGACATATATCATCGGTGAAGTCCAGATCCTCCAAGTTTTTCGTTAGGGTCCATTTTATGCCTGTTTCCTCATTTCCCGCTGTCTGTCGCATTATCCAATCTACTGCAATCAGGAAGATCATTGGCGATAGTAGGCAGCCTTGCCTTACTCCCGTCTTCACTTCGAAGGATTGAGGATTTATATTACTACTCTTAATTTTCTTGTGGGCCTTCACCAGTACCGTTTTTTCTTTATTTGTTTGATTTCATTATTTAGATCTCCTGACTTACTAGTTTGGCTTCTGGTTCGATTATATGAATATTTAACTAGACCTAACTTAATTGATTTTTAGGTGGAATGAATTAAAGTCCAAGTACCTATTGGAATGTGCTGGTTTTCTATAAAGGCTTTTGTCTAACTACCACCTTCTTTTTGTTTTTCTGTACAGCCTAGGATAGCTAACATGCACCGTTCATTTTCCAGCTTGAAGGTGAATGTGTCATCCAAATCCCCAAGCAGTAGCAGGACAGCTCGAAACGTTAAGCTCTTAGAAAGTTTATAGTGAAGATATAATTATGAATAATAAACTGTGTTCGAAACGTTATCCAGTACATATATACTGTTTCACTGACTGATATATCATATATGTATACGTATACAAACAATTTTACATGGAAGTAACAATGTGTACGGAGTTACAAAATACATTTGTTGCTAAGAATTGGGTTAATACAGCGGTGATACCCTACTGCGCAAAGAAACGTCAGATGAGATAAAGCGAATCCTTAACAATCATGACAACACCTTACGCTCATCACCAACAGAATTGTGTATACCAGATCAATTTTGGAGATTGTGACTCTGCTGGATATGTAGGAGACACTTCCAGACAGGTAAATTTAAAAGAGTGGAAGGGCATAAACAATGTCTAAAGGTGGTTCCAAAGACCTCTTCAGATTTGAAGAAGCTAGAAAACTGATCGGTGATTGGACACTGCACTCGATAGAAACATGACACAAGATCGACTTTGATGATAGGATTAAGGTTCTACAGAAAGGTTTTGGTTCGTATAAAGAAAGACTGACTGCAGAAGCCCTACAGATATGGATGAATCCCAAAAGTTTGAACAGACATGAAGGTGTGATGTTAAGTAATGCACAGTAAGTCCGGATTACTAAATAAAAATGGATATGTACCACTAATTAATCATACTTGGTCAAAAATTCCTGATTGTCTATATCTTCTTATGCAGAGGCTAACAGATGTTTTACAATTGTTTCCCCATACACAAATGTACACACACACATACCACTGTATACCGCATATATATCATATTCAGTTATCTACGACCATGAACTTTGGCCGAACGTAATCACTAAAATTTTGGTGAAAAAGTACACTCTGTTTACAGTGTTTAACAAAAGTATTCATCATAATAAAGTTTTTTGGATTTCCCAATGAATGAAAAAGAACAAAACGATATTGTTGTATCTACTGACGATTCGCTATTTAATGCTAATAGCTTTATCAAAGCAGTATTATTAAACCGGAATTTACAAAATCTCAGCATACATATAACAAAGAGTTAAGATGAGAGAAAATAGACCACTTAGGTCACGTTAAAAGGAGGACATATTGAAAGTCAAAATAACAATGAAGATCACTAAACTAAATAACAAAGGTAATAGTACATTTGCTATGGTATCAAAACAAAGTTTACTAACTTGATCATCGTTCTTCAGTATGGAGTCATTTTTCGTTGTCAAACTGGCTAATCAGTAAGGATAACAAAATCAGGTGTAGATTGTTAGATTTGATAAGTGTGTAGAATTATAAAAGGAGCGTGTGTTTACATAGTGAACTTGCATATCACATTCGTGTTGATTTTGTCACTTCATGGGGGAGGGGGAAGTGTTGTAACCAGGTCAAATTCTGTTTTAGTCCATCATTCCTATTCAGACAATTTGGATTCCATTTGATATGAAGTGCTTCTGATGATATGAGACATTCTTTGTGATTTCTGAAATGTTTTTCTGGATTATTTCAATATTGTCAAAATCAATTTTGTGACCTGATTCTATAGCGTGTAGACTTATGGCTGATGATTTTTCAAGTTTTTCTAGTTCAACGGGATTTCTCGGTGGTCGAATAGATGCTCTACAGTGTTCATTTCTTCTGATTACCTTGATTTCTCTCTGGTGATGTTTGTCCGATGTATATCGGACCACAAAATTGATTTTGACAATATTGAAATATTTTTCTATAGTTTGGTTTGTAAGGGTTTGTTATGGTTTTTACGAATCCCAGTGGGTGCATACTGCCGATGATTCCCAAACTAGGATGAAACAGCAGCTGTTCAGTACTCCCTGGTTTTCAATGGTTCTCTAATTGATATCAGTCCGTGATCAACTCGTAAAAACAATACTGAAATAATCCAGAAAAATTTCAGAAATCACAAAGAACGTCTAATAGTAAACTTTGTTTTGATATCATAACAGATGTACTATTACCTTTGTTATTTGGTTTAGTGATCTTCATTGTTATTTTGACTTTCAATATGTCCCTTTAACGTGACCTAAGTAGTCTATTTTCTCACCTCTTAACTCTTTGTTATATATATGCTGAGATTTTGTAAATTCCGGTTTAATAATACTTTGATAAAGCTATTAGCATTAAATAGCGAAACGTCAGTAGAACCACAACAATATCGTTTTGTTTTTCATTCATTGGGAAATACAAGTAAACCTTTATTATAATGAATATCATATACCCAATGCCCAATTTTTTTCAAACTGTTAAAAGTGAACTTGGTTTGGACATCTAATAATTTAACAAAAGTAGACTAATATTTGTGAGTCTGAGGTCAAATTTTGACCACCGCTCATACAATTTTGTTTGCTTATTATATATTTTGTTGCCTGTTTCATGACTTATATGATTGGAGAAAGTTTTTAAAAATAAGAGATGCCCTTTTTATATTTATGAAACCTCTGTTATGTTAATTTCGATTAATTTCCCTGAAGAAGTGCAGAGCAGTTTGCCGAACGCGGGAAACGTTGGAATTACTTACTCTTATTTCAATTTCGCTGAGATTTTACAGAGATACAATTTTTACAAATGCCCATGACCATATTTTTCGAAATCACTGATCCACCTTATGAGATTCGGGTTATCTGATTGTAGTATCCATTACACAACAAGCATGACCACCACAAACTGCAAGGAAATGTATATTTCATGTTATTGACTAATAACGAACTATTTCGCAATCGGACAGAATCCACAGTAGATAAGAAGCTGGTAAGACTTAGTTCACAGTCGAACAGTAGAAGTGGTCTGAATCCCTCAACAATACTGTAATTGGTTGGAGGGTTTCATCATCATGAGCTGACATCGGTTAGAGAACCATTGGAAAAACAGCCGGGAATACTGGACAGCTGTTTCGTCCTAGTTTAGGACTCTTCACAGTATGCACCCATTAGGTGGGGTGGTTCCAAGGTGACCATTAATCCACTGGGACCTGATCCTACCCTCCAACCAATCAAACACAATCCCAACAAAAACCAATATTTGAAAATACTGTAATTATCGCCACCTTATTAGATAATTTTGTGAATTAAATACAAGCAAGCAATTGGAATACTAAAAATTATTGAACTTACTTAATAATACAGTAATCTTCTATACTGGACATCGGATTCCATGTTGAATTACTCCCGTATACAGTACGCCTTTCAGACATTTACCTGTAGAGAATATTTTCTCGGGTAAATGAGATTTCGCTTATATTTGAAAAAAAGAAAGAAAATGGTCAGCGCTACTAACAAAAATAACAGCAATACAGTACCTATTGGTGCCTAATGTCACCCATGAGGATGTTTGTGAAAGATTAGACTTCAACGACCGAGGTGATCACCCATTTCGAAGTTAATCACAGCACTCAAGTAGTGGTTCGATATTTAATTGCTGAGCGTGGGCGATGAGGGAGTGGTTATTTGAAGATTGTGGCTTCTTAGCTAAAATGCTCAGTGCGTCGGTGGCATAGCGGTTAGGACTCTCGCCGATCATGCACATGGTCGGGGGTTCGACCCCCAGCCGATGCACTCCTTTACCTCGCTAAGCCAGAAATAAAGCTGGTAAAGAGGAAAGGTTGGGCATGAGGCTAGCAATCCCATCCTGTAAAAATAAACACCACTGCTACAGAAACTTCAAGCTGGCTCTAGCTTGAAGCCCTATGTTCCACTGGGGAACGTGAAGGAAAAAAGAAAGAGAAGAAGAAGGAAGCTAAAATACTCGGTTCCTAATCAAGCATGGAATCCCACTCCATCTGCCTCAGCTTGGATAGGTCATAGGTAAGGCATACCTTGATGCAGGGAAAGAAACTAGAAGGTCTGGACTTCGGGGATGACATATCTAATGTCATCACACATCAACTTGAAGATCCACAAGTCAGATCAACAAGTCTGCCGACGAAGTAGCTAAGATAGGACATGGAGAGGACAGTAGTGATGGAGATAACTGACAACCAACAACGACGGGAGAAATCTAGAGAAAGTCACTTGTTTTATTTGTCTATTCAAAAAAGTTTCAACTACAGGTGGCACAGTTGATGCTGATGATGATGACCATGATGCATCTTGATTCATAAGAAAAAGGCGTGAACAGCGAAGAAAATTTTCCCTTTTCGACGATTCATTTTCAGAAACTGCTCCTACAATCATAATCATATATAACAAAGAATTTATAAAATCAATCAGATACTGGTAAAGTTTGTCCTCGAAAAATGTATTACATAATGTAAGGTGTAGTCTAGACGGGATGACTAATTGTAAGTTAGAAAAGAGGCAGAAGTTAGGATGACGTAATCAGAGTGAGGTAATGACTAATCAATAAGTTCGTCTAGAATGGACAGGAACTAGTGGAAGGGCGATAAAGTGTTTTTATATAAAATCTGTATGAAAAAGCAATGTTATTAATAAACAGTAATAGAGTGGTAATAAAATATGGATGATGGGAATAATGATGATAATAAAATAATAGTAGTAATAATAATAATAATGAACTTACATAATAAAAAGAGAAGAAGCAAAATTATAATAAGAACTTTACTCTGACCACGGTAGGGCAAGTGAATGTATGCATCGCTTTTGAATGCAGAGGTCCGATTTCGGATCTCGAATAGCTAATTCTTCAGCTATGTACAGATGGCGTATGCGAAATCCTTTTGTACGATACTGAGGGACTCTGTGTAGCACTGCGAAGCATTCATGCAGTTGAGGAGGGGTGCTCGATGTCTGGAGATGACAAGGTGTTCTTTCCTCCTCTGGCTAGCTAG